ATCAATAATGGTGCGGAGATTATGAAGAATCGATGATACTTTCGCTAATTGAGTGAGAAGATTTGTTCGCACTAATTGCTGCTGAATAATTCCGAGTTGTAACATGGTTGAATTGAATCAACTATTTCATAAGGTTTTCAAAAGATAGTTGTGCTCAGTCAGATTTGTAACAAATGATTTCTTCAGTCATATTACGATTCTACTAATATTCCCTCAATTGTCCTTGAGACCACTTTCTTAAGAGGATTGCAATCCTACCAAAACATGTTCGTCATAATTGTTTGTCTCTGCATGACTTCTCTGAAATGCTTCGCGCCACTTTTATAAACATTTCAAATTCGTACCGATTTATTGGACGTTCACAATGAATAAAGAGTTGGCAATGTTTTTTTGTTGCTCATTTTGAATCACTTGTTTGGGCGTTGTCGACCGCTCGAATGCATTTTTCACTTTTTTAATTTATAGTTTTTGTCTGCAGTCGGAATGCGCAACAAATGAGCCATGAATCAATCATGCAGCGTCGTAAACTTCTTCTGTACCGCAAATAATTTCTAGACAGTAATCACTGAAAGCTGTGAAATTCTATGCACCATTGCATCACTTGCGTTGGTGATTACAAATGAATTTCTAAGCGAACTGCTGATTTTGTCAGCTTTGACGATGCATTAATAACTTCGATGGTGCATATGATTTCTCGCTAGTTGTTACGAACTTACCGAAAATTTCAGTAGACTATCACTCATCTAATCTAAATGTCCAGTTCGGCAACAACGTAAGGCTAAATCATTTTTCCAATTTAATTTCATATCCTCTATAGGTTCTATAAGTATTTGAACTGTAAAATTTGTGATCTCCCAGAATTCAATTGAAGTAATTGACGATACAATTGCGGCCAAACAGGAATGTCCAATTATTTGCTGTTGGAATACATTATACTTATTAAACACATGGCGTCGTAAAAGAGTTTAGAAGTGCAACACTATATCGATGTTATATGATGAGTAACCAATGCAAAACCGGTAATATTTAGTACAAATACAGAGGAATCCTCATGAACATCAATAATTATTATGTGACATTCGTACACATGTTTGCGTACGAATCTTAGTTGTCGTGTATCACATACGCATGATGTGACCTGCTGATTTGCGATTGGCATTGATTTTCTTCATTGTTATTACTATTACTGATATTATTATTGTTATTATTAACACGGTTCACATTTAAGCACGACAATAATATTCAATAATAATATGCAATAAGGGATAATCGCATGCAAAGTAAAGTGTGTTGTCGTTCGCATCATTGGAAATTGCTCTTTTATTGTATATTTTAGTTGATAGGGTGGCGAACGAAATTGAAAAGTTCTAAAGAAGTTGTCATTTCACTGAGCAGAAAACACGTTTTCGAATGCATCATTGCATGTACTTCCTCGAAAAATTCACAGGAGATTTTCTATGCGATAATACTCTCAGTATCTGTGATGAACATTTCAGAATTTTGCCATTAATGTTGCTTGTCGTTCGACACGGGAAGCGACATTTTAGGGTTATTGTTGTTGTATGATGAGTTTTTGAAGTAGCTGATGTGAAAANGACTCTTTTTTATATCGCCTAAGTATTTTAATTCTTCAACGCTAAAAATTCTAAGTTCAGAAGCTTTAATGTATGACTGTTTACTTCAAAGTTTCCTTTTGTCGCCTAGAGGAATTCTTTGCAAGTTTTCGATGTAAAATATCAGTTTGGTCTAAGCATTTTAAGCTACATTCTGTGACTTTCTTTTTTGTATCATTCCGTAATGCGATTATGTTCGCATAATCGTTGAAACAGAAAACAAGGTACAGTGATGATTGTAAGCATAAATGTCCTCTGTTTATGTGTTTGAACTGACCAGAGCTTAGTTGCGATCATTGATTTCAGTTCATTTGAGTTTCGAAATCCCATTATCAGAGACCATCCGTTTATGGATTATTTTACGGCCTGTTTTCATCTAGTGTCCATTTCTCTTGATGAACTCGTTGAATAAGGGCTACTTAAAATACTTCTTTATAAACAATTTATATTGCGTTTCTTTCGGGGCATTTAGCACCATATTTGATCGCTCAATCTTAAAGTGTACATTCCTCCTTACCAATGAGCATTCATGGAATGCTTTGTCAGTTTGTGTTCATCCAACGTCGTATGAGACAAACACATTGTTCGCCTTCAGAACTGAATGATAAGTTTATTTTGAGACATACGCTCATCGAATCGTCAAATTATTAGCGTTGTTACCAAATCCTTCATTTCGTCAAATTCGAATCGCTAACCGCTCGTTTTTCCAGTTTATTAGCACTGTGAAATCAGTCTTTCATCAATAAATTCAGGGAAAATTATCCTGACGAATGGATTCTATTTTGACAATAATGCTTCTGATAATGATAGCAATTGTATGCCAAAGTTCAGCGTATTCTAGTGGTGACCAGGAAATCATTACAAAGGTACGTCTCAATTTTTTTCCATTGTTTGAGTGTTCGACATCAATTTTATTCCTTCTGAATCCTCAACTCAGTCATCACGCAATCAGTTTTTTGCTGTTCATCGACAAATATCTTCTCATTCTATTCATACGAAATTTGAAAATGTTCTGCGTGAAGCGCTGGATTTTCTAGCTTGTAAACGACTATAGAAGACGTTTCTCGCCACGATTCGTTGGATCATTTTATGCTGTTTTTAGGATGGAGATGTCCAAAAGTACTCGCATCATTTGTGGTGTCCAACAAAAATGATGGGAACCATGTGTCCAGGTTATTGACTACAAATTATTCTTGACATTAGCATCGTCACTGCATGCATTTTCAATTCTTCGTCTTTCCAAAAACTACAATTTTCAGTCATTTTCTAATTATTTTGAAGCGTTCAAATTCCTACTCCATTTTGCCCATATTTCTGCTATTTCTTCTGGAGTGTGCAATTTGAGACAACATTTTACAGAAACATTGCTGCTCATTTTTGCGCACTTTGGACTGATCGGAATATATTGCTTCCCTTGAGCTTTAATTTGAAACGATAAATTTCGAGCAATTTTGCAGAGAATTCATTAACATACTATTACAAATGTTGCGGTGATCTGAACAATCAGTGTTGCCATCATACACGAAAATGGGTTGTTATTATGGGTGCATTGGTACCATTCACTGCTTCGTTCATTATAATTGGATACGTTATTAAACGACTTTGCTGGAATCGACAGCGACGATACACACCTGGAATGCAAGCATAATCCAGTGTACATACTTCCTTTGAAAATCATGCATCCACTCTATTCGATTCACTTTTTAATATGCCTAATCGCTTTTAATTCAATGAATCTCGATCACTCTGTTATGTTCTCACTTGCAATCGTTTTGTTATTTGTCTGTTTCCGACGTCTCTTTGCCAGGATTCTAATGAAGGAAATTCTAATTGTTCGGTGATCGATAGTGTGGCAATTAATGTTACTGCGAGGCTGTCCTCGCTACTCGGATTCTACAGGTAATAGGCTTCTGTGTGAGGTGAATAGTGAAATCCGAACCACACAGTGCTTAACAGTTACACATGAAGCTAATTTCCTGATGACCTTCACTCATTCGGCATTTGCAATACGTCTTGTATGGATAAGATCAGATATAATCAAAAAACCTACGAATATACCAGCGAACTGAAATCAAACGCTTTTTCCGTGTCCTACAGAACTGTGTACACCTCTTACGTTTTATTTTGTGCATTGATTGACATTCAATATTCGCTGCTATTGTAATGTTTCATTCCTTCTGATATATTCAGTGGTTAAATACATTCATCATCATCTGTTCTATTCTTCATGATGAGAACAGCTGTTTTCTCATTTCACTTCACATCCCGTATCATCACTTTCAAGTTTTCATGAATGCATCGAACCCTATGACGTATTTCAACGAAAATTTTCAGGAATGGTCCACTCCATCATCATCTGTTCTATTCTTCATGATGAGAACAGCTGTTTTCTCATTTCACTTCACATCCCGTATCATCACTTTCAAGTTTTCATGAATGCATCGAACCCTATGACGTATTTCAACGAAAATTTTCAGGAATGGTCCACTCCGTTCCTTGATAGCATTGATCTGTGCTCACTCGTTATTTCACTGTACTATTTCACTGTTCTTGATTCTTCATTAAAGTTTTTCATGATTCACATTTATCATCCATTTTATGTACAGGTCATATCACTATATTATGTCACATATGAAAACTCTCTTATGAAGAGTGCAACATCGTGGTAAACAACATTTTCTACTCTTATCGAACTCTCTTGATAATCGGCTAAGGGAGTTGAAAGGAAGTGTGCCAGTGAATGAAGAGTAATCATACTGTGCACTATTGGTATATTGTAGGTCACTGCATCATTAGACGTAAAGAAATAAGTACTTGATAATGAATAACGTTCATGATAACATAAACAGATAATTAGGTAGAAGACAAATCATAGCCTGACTCAGGCTCGGCAACCAGTGACATTGATATGCCACTCGGTTTCGAGCAAAATTTTCACCCGAGAACGTAAATCGAACCGGCGACCTACCGAACAGGTTCAGGTCCCGTTAGCGAGGGCGAAATTTGGCTCAAAACTGAATGGTGTCCAGTGTCATTGATTTTGTCGAGCTCGGTCCAGGATATGCTTTGGCTTGCATCTAATTCGCACACCAGGACATCAGTGTAAGATTCTTATCCATGGAGTCGTATAACATCATCACCCATTAGTGCACCCAACAACAGGGTATCATATAAATAGGATGATACAAAGCAAAATTCCGTTAATTTCATACTACGAGTGTCAATAATTAATGAGTTGATTTCCCCATCTATCTCTTCTCAATCCATTTCGCAGGCAGATCCGTTTCGACTATTTATTGAGATTTCTCATCCTCTACTGCCATAACCTACTTCATGATTTTTATTGATATTGAAACATGAATGAAGACTGTATATATCATAGATTTCTCACATTACTATCATTAGAAGCAGCAATCTCCACCAGTACCGAGATTCTTCTGTTGATGATCGACTAAAGGTGTCAAAAGGAAATATGCGAATATGTGACCAGCAATCATACTGAAGAACAGCGGTACATTGTATGTCATCGCAATCATCATTAGAGATAACGAGATAAATACTTTCATACCATACAGAATCGTCTGTGCAATATGAGACTTTGAAAGCATAACATCCGAACGCCATCTGAAGTAGTGATAATCATTATACACAAAATAGTTGTGCATAATCAGCTATTAATCAGCTGTCATATACATAACAGCTATATATTAGAATAGCTAGCCTANGCAAACGTAATACTGTTATTCTGTTGCAAAATGAGAACTCATTTAAACGGTCGTCAAGACAGAACGAAGAAAGCCATGACCTCATCGTAATTACATGTTGCGATAAAACAAGGTAGACCGTGCATGCAAGTGGTTCCAATGCTTGAATTATATTAATGTTTCATTTTAAATGATTTTTTGTGCGAATTGAAAACGAACGTATAAATATTATGGCCTCCACTCAACAATTCTTGATATGAGTTTGAATTCGGTGTGGAATTGCTGACTTGCTGCTGGGTGTTTTCGCATCCTGCGCAGGACTGAAAATACGTCCGTTGATAGCTGACAATACTCCAAGATAGCATCATAAAATGGATTTGTTTGATATCGTCGTAATGTTATACCGAGAGATAGAAAAACCTGACTTGAATATAACGTTGATCTTGCTGATGTAGCATCCAACAAAGAGCTATGCATAACGCCTCATAACCAGCTGCTATTGTGAAGATTGCGATACACGATAATACGAAAGCTGTAAATGTCGGAACAATTATTGCTCAGTTCAGCTTCTGAGTTTCTGGATCATTTTCCTCTCATTTATTCGTCTCCGAAGCTTTCCCTAGATGTGACGGTGACTGAACGAAAAATTATATCCGTTGGAATCTACTGCAAACAAACTCAACAAAAATTTTCGGTCTGAATCCAGCGGATTTCATTTTTGCAATTCCAAATTTCAGTTATTATTGAAGAACCAAAAATTGTCCAAATCGCAGTTGAAACAGTCAGTATCACTATTCTCTAACGATAAGAAATAGTTCAGTCTATTTAAGAAGCCAAGCCTCAAATATAACTTACTAGCTACGTCATTTGGAAGCCATCCGTTGAATAGAATGTATTCATGAACTCGAACGTGAAAATACATCTTCATCATTGGTCCCATCATTGTATTGAACGGTTATTGAAAAAAACTAAATGAAATCTGATGGGTGTATTGTGGATCAATTTTCGATTCATCACGCGGATGCGACATTGTTCGACAAGCTTTTAGCCTTTATCAATTTGAAGTCTTTTGTTACAGCTGCTTTATGTGTTGGATTTTTTGATTATGATTAGGACATTCTTCTGAGATATTTTTTCATATTTGACAAATCCAGCATCACTTTCAGACATGCATCGGAACTTGCATTATGCATGTGAAAGCAAAATTTCGAAAGTATCCTTGCATCATCGCACATTGTGATAACTGGTAGCA